CTTTGCGCGAAATTTAAAAAAACAAACAAACAAACAACCATTATAAAGCTTCAAATGGTTTGAATAACATATTCTTATCGATTCTAAGGAAACTCGAATAATTATTTAATTTATGTATCGTATACAGATGTATAAAAGACATTTTAGTAATAAATAACGACATAAATAAACGACATTATAACACCAAGTTAAAAAAAGATAATAAACTTGGTGGTATAAGGTCGTTTATTTCTAATATTGAAACTCCAATAATATTAAATAAATTATTGCTCCCTATACGGATTTAGTTTGCGCGTTCTGAATTATTGGCCAATAAGAGAGCTCTATATTTTTGAAATGAGCCAATGAGTAGTTGATAACAACGCGCAATGTTCGAATTTTTGACGTAGTAGGGAGGTACACATAACATTTCAACAAGAAATATTTAGACCTAAATGAAGACAGCCTTTCGATAAGCACAATTTTATATTAATTTCGAAGAAGGTTTATTGATACGGTATCAGGCCTTCGATATTTTTAGGTAATATAAACAAAAAGATGATGAAAGAATTGGTGAACAGTGTGTGTTTAGGGTTAGTTGATAAAGAAGATCTTCAACAATTGAAATACTCTCAGCTTCGTAAACTTGCCAAACAGTTAGGCGTCAAAGCAAACAAAAAGGCAAGTTATTTCTCTCTGGTTAATCCTTGAATGTGTAAGAGTATTTATGTGAAAGTAAACATGGTAAGCATTACATTTATTTATGAAATAGGCTTATAAAAACAGTATTTTTTAATCCGTTGATGGATTTTTTTTAAGTTTTACAAAAAAAAAGCCTAGTTTAGTAATTAGTATTTTTGTTATTATATTTTCTTAGGCAGAAAGACTAATTGAAAACATCTTGTTAGATCAAAAACACCGTATTGTATCCAGGAAAAATGATGCTGGTACTGATTCTGAATATGTGGACCACAAAGAACATGACGATAAAATGGTTTGTCGGATATAATTAACGATCGTTTCATCATAAATATTACTATAGACTATAGTATTACTTTAGTGTTATGTGATATCATTTGGAAGCAAACTAAATTTTATTAATGCTTAATAATTACTAATTATGGTATATTGTTAATAGCCACTTAATTAATTGTTGACATCTTAAAATTAAACATATTATTATGCAATAAGCTTCTCCTATACGTTTGCCTGATATTTTCATTTAGTTTTATAAGGATGTTATGCAAAGTGTGAATAACTGCATATTAGTTATTATATGGAATTGATGATTTACACACAGTAATAATGTCCCATTTATAATATTAATAATTAACTCCATTGGATTTCAAGTTTCAGTAAATTTAAAGCAAACTTGATGGAAGTAACTTCAAAAGCTTGAAGATGTAAATGTTGTTTGAAGTGAAGGGTGTTAACATTAATTTTGAAACAATTTGAAAATTTTGATTGTGTTTAAACTTTAACCCTATAGCAGTGGAGGTATTACAAAATCATTGAGTAAATTATTTATTAGTTTACATGAGATTGATGATTTACACAATAGCAATGTCCAATTTATAATAATTTACTCCATCAGCTTTCAGGAAATTTAAAGTTTTACATGAAACCAATGAATTCAATCGAAGCTCGAAGTTAGTCAATTATAAAGTTTATTGTCAACTTCTAAGCACAATATTATTGATTTCTCCAACAACTAGATAAAATGCACTAATTTGGTTAAGTGCATTGTAGTAATTACTTAAAAATTAATTATTAGTTTGTTTTTTTCACACGTTAGAGATATAATGCTTATTTTTAAGAGACAGACGTATGTTGGTCAGATACATCATTTTGAGAGCAGTTATTAAGTAATATAAAAGTTTAAATTTAAATGTTTTTCTTCAAACTTTTTTATTTATAAGATTATACATGTATAAATGCAGCAATGAATATATATTTTTCCAAAAATTGTGTGAAGTGTAATAAATTTTCATAATTCTATGAAACCAATTTTTAATCTTTGGTTATTTTGCATCAAGAAAAGGAATTCTAACCAAACATTTATGTCATTGTGTAAAACTTGATCAGTTTCATGCTTGCTTTAGTGATCATGTTATTAAATACATCCAGTGATAGGATTGATATGACAGCTATGATTTATTTGATAGTTTGAATTTAGTGGTGTCCCCTCTGTTAGTATTTGAATATTGTTTGTTATGCTTGATAGATAGACAATAAATAATCATAGTTCGAAACATAATTTTTCAGTTTCTGAATCCTTTTACTGCTTCATCAGAAATGTAGGTACTTCTATAATTTTGTAGGTTTCTGTCAAACAATGTAGTGAATCAATAGATGAAGGGGATTTGCAGGAAAAGACTGTTAGTGATCAAGGTGGAAAGCCAAAAGGAACCATGAATAAACTTCTTCCAAGAAGGAGCCTACGCTTATCTCCTAAAGCTGAAGAGGAAAGTACTTGTAAAAATATTTGCAAAGTGAATGCATTAAGACGAAAGTCTATACCAAGTTCCCATAAGGATAAACTGGATAGAAATGGCTGTAGAATTTCTACTGGTCATGTTGACTTACTGAAGTCCCAACCTAGGAAGAGTACATCACACATCACTAATACACCAAGAGAGACCCCAAAAACGCCAAGATTGTCCAAAGTATTGGCCCGATCTTCAAAGTTTTTTAAAACGCCAGTAGGTCTTAAAACAGACTGTCCTCGCAAACAACAGAGTACCATAACTCCAAGTTCACGTAATACGTCTTTTGTTATTCAGACACCTCAGTCTTCTAAACTTGCATTGAAAAAACAAGATGATGATTCTCCTCGAACCAGGTTGAAAAGAAAACTTAGTATTCCATCAGGGGAGACACCAACTGATCAAAGTACAGTGACATTGAAAAGCATTATTGCAAAAACACCATCTTCAACAGTTAAAAATCCTGCTAAAAAGATAAAACTTAGTATGCCATCAGTAGAGAAGCCATCCAGTAAAAGCATAATGCTTACCCCAGAAAGTACTTCAGTAAAAAAACCATTCTCTACAGTTGAAAAACCTGTTAAGAAAAGGAAACTTACTATTGGATCAGGAGAAACACCAGCTAATAAGAGTAGAGTAGTAACTCCAAGAAGCATTACAGCAAAAACACAGTCTTCTGTTGTGAAAAATTCAATTAAAAAACGTTCACTTCTTAATTCCAATTCAGCCACTGATTTAGGAGAATCGGAGTGCCAAAATTCCTCAGATAAGAAAGGTATTTTCTTCTAATATAAAGAAAAGTAGCAATAAATTATGACTGTATTATAAAAAGAAAAATTAAATATTTCAAAAAATGTTATAGAAGTTCTATTAAGTTTGTTTTATAGTCATGATGGAATCATAAGTATCATATCAGTATTGCCAATACTGGCTAGGTCTTGAAAAGAGTATAGCTTTTATTAAACATGGAAAATTAAGAGCATAAATTGATTTAACATTAACTACTTTTTTTTAAATAAGTGGTTTCCATCCTTTTGTGTTTTTCACATTTTACTGCATCATTCTCGTCAATATTTGTTTCTATTAACGATTATAACATTCATATCATGTTCAGTTTAATTTTATTTTACTTATTTTTCAAATAAATGAATATCAAGGTGGCTGAGGCTATTTTCAGTGGGTTCTGGGTTTCAAGTATAAACTTAAAACTTTTTCCTTTAGATTAAATTTGTTTTAATTATTACTTCTTCAAAGATGTCTAATAGAAAGTTTCAATAGCCTTCTAACTTTGAATTCTTAACTTGTATGAATAAAACTTCAAACTTTATGTGTTTTTTTTTTTTTTTTTCAATTATAGTTAAACGCTTAGTTGAGGATTTTATGGTTTTATTAACCAACATGTCTCATTCTTTTTTATAACACAATGATATTCTCAATGTACAAGCAAGTCCTGTACAAATTTTTGGAACTTAACACTTTTCATTGTCAAAATGTTTAATTCTCAAATACAATAAAAATCAAATGCATATTATTTCATTGTAATTCCAGTGTCACTTTTTCAAGACGTTTTGCAATTATCTTAATAGCTGTGGAAAAATAACTGATTTGAATAACTAAATTTATTTAAAAGTGTTGTCAAAGTATACAAGATATTTCCCAAATGTGTTGTAGGTGGCAAGCTTTATCAGTGTGAAATTATAGAATAGGTTACAAAGTCACCATATTTTATTCTCCTCTTCCCCCTCCTCCCATGTTCTGAGCTAGTGTTAGTTCATAAATTATACGTTTTGATGAAGAACATTAGCTTGAAATGTAATTTTCTTTAAATAAAAAATATATATATATATATATACACATATAAAACATAGCAGTGATTAAAATATTACATTCCCGATTAATTTCACTTTGTTTGAAGAATTTCATCTTTTAGCTGGTTTTCCAATTTGAGAATGCATGGTTAAATAAAATAAAATAAAAACAATTCACGAGGAAATGCAATGTTATCTTCCAAATAGCTTTCTCTAGAGTGAATGTAACTATATTTCATTATTTCTATCCTGCATGCCAATTTTGTTACATGTTTGTGTAATTCCTATATCTTCATTGTCGATGTGGTTAAATATATTTGCTTCTTTTTGTCAATATAAAAGTTGGACAATCCCATATTTTAGTTTGTAGTTAAAAATATTTAGCTATGTATGTGCAGAAACTTAATAAATAATACAAGTAAATTAAAACTGTAGATGTAATTATTGGAATAAATAAGTATAAGCAAGCTGCTTAATAAGATTGATTTGCTTGATGTAAAAATGTATTTTTAAGTTTTCTTTGACTTCTATGTTTGTTCTCAAGAATCCTCACAAGTGGAAGTGAAGCTACAGAGTAACATCCCTAGATTTATGGCTTTTGCTTCTAAAAAAGGTGGATTTCAACCAGGGAAAACAAGGACCCCAAGTGAGTTACTTATATATGAATTGTTCTCAACTGTTATTACATCTCACTTGTATTAAAGTTTTTTTTTAGGTGCCTTAGAAGCCTTTTAAGACCAGTAAATCAAGCAACAAGTAATCTAGCTTCAGGATAAAAAGTCACTTTCAATAGCAGAAAGTGTAAACTACATTAGTAGCATATAATAACAGATTTCTAGACATATATTTATATGTTATCTTTTTAGAAAGTTGTGGGTAGTTTGTATACTTAACATTCTTTCATCACAGGATTTATTTTTTCATATCCACTCTTGTGCAAGTAATTTTGCAATAATTCTTCAAACAACTTCTGTTCGTGTATTTGTTACAATCATTCACTACAGTTGAATTCAAAATGACCAAGTACTGTGTTAGGTTAATACAACGTGGAAGCTTCTACAATAACATTCTCTTTATCAAGTGTTCAGTCATTTATAGTTTGTAACAATACTGGAATAAACATTTTGTCACATGATGTCTAATGTTGCTGTTAAATTATGGAACTTTCAAACCTTTAGAATTCTTAAAAACTAAATATGTGATGCTCAGTAAAAGTAAAATTAGCTTTTAAGCATGTGGTTGGCACATTTGTGTACTCTAAGCTGTCTGCAGTTTTACTGTAACTGTTTGTATCTCACAGACACCGTACATTTCTCACAATGCAAGATTTGTATGGATGCTAAATTAAGAAAAAATAAGTTATCAAATTTGCTCATTTACTTGAAAAATACAACGGTTTGTTTGCACGTGCTTTTGAAATACTTGGTGAGAATAATAATGCAAAGTCCAGTCCAGTTAATGATAAGAAAGCATCTTATTTTTTCAAATACAGGTTCTATAAACTTTTGTAAATTTTATGTAACTAACATTAGGCTTAACTTGCAAATAACGCCAAAAAAATCACTTGCTTACTAATTTTCTCTTTCCTACAGCACTTTCTTGTATCTCGTACTTTGTTGAAACAAACTTAATATTTACAAAACTGAATTACAAGACATACTAACAAACTCACCAACTCATTAATCAAATCACTAGGTAACATACTCAAACCAATTAACAGTCTCCCCTGACCAATGTTTTACATAATCTGTCTAGACAACATTAATATAAATGTCTAAATCAGCATTTCCCAAACTTTTTTTGGCAACAGAACACTTCAGCTGAGAAAAAGCTTACGGAACACTAGACACGTAATATCGGTGTAGAGGGTATGTTGCATGCGCAGCTCCCTCTAGATTTGTATATTATTCATTTATTTATTTAATCAGATTATGTATTAATGAATTTTTTACATTTTTATGCTTATAATATATTTTAGGTACAAACCTCTCCACTACAATATTATGTAGAATAGATATGG